AGCACGGGTACTTAGTCACTGGCACTGCAGAGGTTAGGCGCTTGCCACAGAAAGCTGGGATACCTGCCTCCATTACCAGCTACCTCTTTTGAGAAAGCTGCCCCAAAACAGGCTGGCAAAAGGAGGGTACGGAAAGGCTTTGAATTCCTTTTCCACTCGAAACAGTGACCTAATCTCTCAGGTACTAAGAGCACTTCCTCTGCCAAACTTTCTTCCTTCGCTCCTCTCTTCACCGTTTCCCAGCAGCCTCTCAGCTCAGCTGGTTGGCTTTCTTGACTTTCCTGGGCTTTTTTCCACCATTCCCCCTTCACTTCTCATTTTAGCCCCATGTGTGCTCGTTGCTGTCCTCAGTCCTTTCACTCCTAATTGCAGCATCACCCTCGAGCCCCTTCATCTTCCCTTTGCAACTCTGTCTAGACTAGCATTTTTCCTCACATCTATGCAGTACACAAATAGAAGTGTTTCTAAATTTACTACTATACTGCGCTGTCATTCAGTAATGCCAGCCTCAAGCTGTCAAAAGCAACGATGGTCAGGTACAGAAAATCAGTTACTGTGGCTTAAAAAATGGAGGTTTTTTTTTAACATACTTTTTTCATTTTCATTTCCATTTGCCTTTTTTGTTTTTCTAAGGGTGACACTTAAGGGATTTGGTCATATTAACACTGATGGGAAGAACACTGCAAGTTTTGTGCTGAGACTGTTTACTTATTTTCCTGAAAGCAAACTCTTGCAGTCTCCACATTGCGGTAGCTGCATCTTAGAAAAAATACTAAACACAGTGATAGCTGGCAGCACTGCACTCTTGAGAGAAATTATCTGCCACTGTGGTTAAATCACCCAAGGTCATCGGCAACAGCAGGAGAAAAATCGTTGAAAACAAAGAAAAAGCTGATGTAAATACAGACGAGTCTTACACTTGAGTGAAAGAAAACTGGTGGCACAGGCTGCAGAGCACAGCTGTAAGGGCCCACATGACACTCGGGATGGGACAGCTTTCAGGATAACAGCTCAGTAAGTAACACACCATCACAAAGTATCACAAAGAAGGCACTACTGTCGTATAACAAACTAAAACATGCTTATTTTGGGGGGTGCAGAGAACAGTTTCCTGTGATGGTTTCAAAAATCACAAGCAAAAACTTCATCTTACTTGTGAAATGGGTTGAGAATGGCATCTAGTAGTAAGGTGTTCCCATGGCAGTCACCACTGAAGGCCTTAGGACTCATCTCCAGCAGACACCACTTGCTGACACACCCCTGTAAATGGGTCAGTTTAACACTGTTCTAACACAAAAGAATCATTTCACACTTCTGTAAAGATAACTTCATTTTAGAAGAGACCAGCTACTTATGAGAAGGAAAAAGAGCCCCATCTACTTCTCAGGTCAGATTTTCTTGTATGAGTAAGCCTGTAGCATGGTATGGGGTTTTTGTGACCAAAATACAGAACCTGGGATTTGGCCTTATTGAACCCCATGCAACTGGCCTCAGCCCATCAATGCAGCCTGTCCAGGTCCTTCAGCAGAGCCTTCCTGCTCTCAGGCAGATCAACATTCCCACCTGATTTGGTGTCTTCTGCAAACTTACTGAGGGTGCACTCAATCCTTTAATCCACATCATTCATAAAGATATTGAACAAGACTGGCCCCAAAACTGAGCCCTGATGGACACCAGTGGTGACTGGATTCCAACTAGATTTGACTCAATTTACCACAACTCCCTGGGCCTGGGCACCCAGACAGTTTTTAACTCAGTCAAGAGTACACTTGTCTATGCCATGGTCCACTTCTATGCAGTGAAGAGTATATATTGTCTATGCCGTAGTAGGATAATAGCACGTTTGAGACCACCTAAAGAACCTGCAAGTGCACAAATCCATGGGACCTTACAAAATCCATCCATGGCTCCTAAGGGTAGTGGCAGATGAACCTGGAAAGCTGCTTTCCATCGTATCCAAAAGTCATGGCAGACTGGTGCAGTTCACACTGACTGGAAAAGTGGAAACTTCCATTTTTAGGAGAGGAAAACAGGAAGACCCAGGGAACTACAGACCAGTCAGTCTCACCTCTGACCCCAGCAAGATCATGAAGCAGATCCTCCTGAAGGTTCTGCTAAGGCACATGGAAAATATGGAGGTGGTTGGCAGCAACCAACGTGGCTTTACCAAGGGCAAATAATCCCTGACTAATTTGGTGGCCTTTTATGATGGGGTTACAGTGTCAGTTGACAATGGAAGAGGAACTGACATCATACACCTGGACTTGTGCAAATCATCTCACTGTCCCACGTGACATCCCGGTCTCAAAACTGGAAGGATGCAGATTTGATGGATGGACCCCTCGTTGCATAAGGAACTGGCTGGATGGTCACTCTCACAGAGTTGTGATCAACAGGTCAATGCCCAGATGGACATCTGTGACAAGTGATGTTCCTCAAGGGTCAGTACTAGGACAGGTGCTGTTTAACATCTTTGTTGGAGACATGGACATGGGATCGAGTGCACCTTCAGCAAGTTGGTGACAACACCAAGCTGTGTGGTGTGTTTGACAGGGTGCATGGAAGTGATGCCATCCCGAGGGGACCTTGGCGGGCTTGAGAGGTGGGGCCATACCAACCTCATAAAGTTAAATAAGGCCAAATGCAAGGTCCTGCACCTGGGCTGGGACAATCCCAAGCACAGATACTGGTTGGGCAGAGAATGGATTGAGAACAGCCTTGAGGAGAAGGCCCTCGGGTGTTAGTCAATAAAAAGTTCAACGTGAGCTGGCAATTGCACCTGCAGCCCAGAAAGCCAATCATATTCTGGGCTGCATCAAAAGCAGTGTGGCCAGCAAGGCCAGGGAGGCAATTCTGCCCCTCTACTCCACTCTTGTAACACACCACCTGGATTACTGTGCTTCTATGATAATAGCTCCCTGAGTTACATGTCCTCTGGATTCAATCACAGCTTCACCTAGGCTTTCTGTGCACCATTAGATGTACACACAGTCCCACTAACTAGTCAGGCAGTTTCTAACACCGTCTTGAAAGCAAGAAGATTTGCGTAATTATTTTTCTGAAGTGCTTGATGGACATACACATATTAAGGCACTACACAGACTTTGACAAAGGCACAGAAACAAAGTGAGGACTTGTGAGATGTCCAGAATAGTCCCACAAGAACCTTATATGAATTAATATGCTTCATAAGGGGAAACATATGCCTTATCCCAAAAAGTACAACATCTAAATGATGATGAAGGCTTTGTAATGCCCATTAATGAAAAACACAGGTTCTAAAATGTTATGTGCAGTTGGAGACCTTCCATGCCACAGAAAACGTCTGATTTCAAAGCAAACATCTCAAGGGAGAGTAAATTTCTGCCAGCTAATTAAGCAGGTACTGCACAGCTGCTTAAGCGGCCACTTTCTCTCCCAATTTAGTTAGGTGAATCAGTTTAGTGAGTGGAAGGACAGCCCAGGACCAGACTCAGTACAAGGGAAGCTCATGGAGAGAATGCTGTGGCAGAGACAGAAGAACCACTTCTCTGGCAGCAGCTATTCACTAAATACTGATAGTGCTGCTTACCCTCTGCAGACAGTCTTTGTTTTGTGCAAAATAGCTAGGTTT